ATACGGTCTTAATGTCTGAATCTGCTTCTGATTTACAAAAGTCTCTTGATGTTTGTTGAATTAAGGCAGTAAGTTGATAAAAGGTCCCTTAGTTGCTGTAACCGCTGATCTTCAATCCTTGCACTATCTGACCACCATCCCGTTTTTAATATATCTGAAAAATGTATATAACGGAATACAAAGATTTAATTTGAAACTAGTACAAAGTTCTACTCATGGTGTATCAGGATCCTCAATCAACTGCAATACACCGACTAAATAGATGTATCAGGACCATATATCAACTGCAATACATCTAACCAATATAAACAATCTGGTGTACCTGGGCCCCAGCTCATCTGCAATACACCTCAAAACGTATCTACATACACATGCTTAACTCGACATGATTTATCAACAGACTTGAGCGTTCTATTTTTAAGACCTTGCGTCCAACTTTACTGCCAGTATCCCAGAAGTGAAATTTCTTGACCCAAACAAACATGCCTTGTTATCACCCTGAATAAGTATGTCTGTACATTCATTGAATAGTAAAGCATCTTTAACATACCATCTATACGTCATATCTTTATCAAAAATAAACGGCCAAAAAACAGCGGAGGGCCAGTTTGGAACAATTAGGACCCCGAAAGCTTTACAGGCTATTAGATGTTTAATAGCGCGAACTACTAAGTGAATAGGGGGTACTGACCAATTGTTTTCGTGTTCCCAGTTTTGGGTAAAACAGTCAATAGCTTCTGGGCCAGGATTCCAAAATTTTGAATTATACCATCCCAACTTACAATTATTATAATTTGCAAATCTGTCAACAGCAAATGTTAACGAATTCAAAAAATGTTGCAGTAACAACCCAATTATCTTGATCTATGATATTACTTAGAAAATCAGCTTTATCATTTTCTAGTCTGGGAATCCATTGTATGTCAATTGAAATTTTTTGTTCTACACACATCTTGAAAATATTGTAAGCAAGAGATTGTAAATGATGTTTCATACTACCAGACAGAACAATTTTTACACAGCTCTGGTTATCAGTGAACCATTTTACTTCTTTAATCACAAAACTATCTATGAAGCTAAAGCTAATTCAAATCGCTCGAAGCTCTCTCAAAGTTAATAGAGCACATACCCTTCTTAAACTCTTTCCACATTAAGTGAAAATGTTTTAAATCACTTTCAACAGTGTAAGCTCCTGACGCTAGTCTACTCGCATCGGAGTAAATGATGACACTTTTGTTTGTTCTTTGTGTAAATACCTTGTTTTTCTGAGTAAATACAATGTAACCAAAAATTACATTCATTTAGAACCTCGTTCTTGTGTGTGAATACAATAACATCGTCCCATGACTTTCATAATGCTATCTCTATAGAACAGAATCTGGTCATTATACTACATATGTTACCAATTACTGGTGACATTGACCTATCTTTCCGACCACTCCTACCAACCCTCTGGCCGTCACTTTAGGAAAACTCTTCACTAGTTTCTGCAAAGAAGCGACTGTATCGTCAAGACGTCTGTTGGGCACTGAAATAGAAAATGACTTTAAATCCCAAGAAATTCCTAACCATTCTAAATTCTGGGTAGGGTAAATACAGATTTTTCAAAATTAATAAGTAGCCCAAATTCTGACAAACTCTTTTGAATGAATTCAGAAACTGAAAAACATTCCTGTTTAGATGGGGCAAACACAAAACCGTCATCTAGGTAAAGTACTATTTTTATACCCCTCTTTCTCCAGAATTTAACAATAGGTCTTAGGCATTAAGTAAAAATGAATGGAGCGGAAGACAAACCAAACGGGAGAACGGTATAACAGTAATACTTATCGTTCCATGAGAACCCGAGATATGTCTGGAAACTTTCAGAAATATCTATATGATGATAGCTAGACTTGAGATCGAATTTTAGACAATAACAATCTTTTTCATAATAATGTTCAGGGCTGACTTCCGATCTTCAAACTTTATTTTTTCATATTGCACATAATCATTCAGTCGACTCAAATCTAGTATCAATCTCTTTTTTTCGACCTGTTTTCCGCGACGCCGAGAGGGCTTTCAATATATGGTCTGTATGTAACTTCTACAACACAACCTGTCTTAATTGACTGGGATATTTCTGATGTGACAAAGTCAGCGTTAATTCCTGCAGATTTGTTATTTCGAAAAATCATAGACGGTGGAACAGAAATAAAAGGAATTTCATAATCAGAATGTATGACTTTCAAAATAAAAGGAAAAGCCCCAATTTCTTCCCATTTACTGTAATGTCTTTTTAAACTGTGTTTTATACTTCTTTCCGTTTTACTCTTTTGAATCTTTTCATGAACACAAGTCAAACAACCTGTATATTTATCATTACTTTGAGTGGTCTTTCCCTTTGGGCAGTTGGACTTCCAGTGCCCTGTTGCAAAACAGTTGAAACAAAGGCTGTCTGCTTGACTGCTTGTTTCTGCCCTGGCCGTAAAGAAATGGCTGTTGTTGCTGCTGTTGAAATGCAGGAAAGGGCTGAAAAGTACTAGAAACCCCAGGAAAAGGCAGTTGAGCTGGAGATCCCGCTGCTGCCGCTGGTGGTGTTTTTTGTGTCCCATAAGGCTGAAATCTCTTGTTTTGCTTCTGATGTCTGAGGGCCCTGTTTTCGGCGCTGCGAATCTTCTTTTCATCATCAGAGTTGTCTGCGATCTCGTTACTCTGGTATTCGTTGACAGTTTTCCACCCGGCCGGAGACGAATCAGCTATGCGAATATGCTTCTGGCGCGTTTTTAATTTTTTACTTAAGTCGGAAATAATTTTCAATGATTCAGAATCCTTCAAGTCAAAGGCTCTTGACTCCAGCTTCTCTAAGCCCTCTAACAATTCGGCATTGAATTCAAACTGAATTCGGTTCCCTTCGGACTTTATCTTGTGTAGAGAATTTTCTTCGAGTTTCTTCGAAATAGACTCGGACTGTTCCGCTTTTAACTGCCCGAGAAAGTTTTGAATTGAGACTGTATTACTCCCGTGAAGAGTTTAACAATGTCCGAGATTTCTAATGAAGAAGTCTCTCCTGTGCTGTCTTTTGGTAACTTATCTGTATCTAAAGTCAGCTCATCGCCCGAATCGCCCATATTACTTGGAAATAGAGAGTGAAAGAAGACGTGTTATCTGCACTGAAAAGAACCTTCGAATGGCTATAGAACTTTCAGCACTAACAGCGGTCAGTTAAAACTCGTGCAATGAATATTTAAATGTCACCTGACAAGGTGACCAGGGGCCCGTTTCACAAAACTATCTTATGACTAAGATCTGTCTTAAGACCGAAAATTATCGTAAGATTGTACCGTAGCTGTTTCACAAAACTGTCATATCTTATGATAATCTTAAGATCTATCTTAATCTTAAGACAACCAGATACATGTCTTAAGACTAAAGTGAACATGGCGGCCGCCTATATTTTGGCTCAAAACAGAAGGAACTTAAGAAGAGAACGAGTATTTAGAGATAGGAACAACCCATTGGACTATATGACTGATGCAGATATCATTGATAAGTTCCGCCTTCCACGCCATTTAATTTTGAGTTTATGTGTAGAGCTTAATGCTCATCTAGCGCGTGATACTAGGAGGTCTCATGCTCTTCCTCCACCACTGCAAATCATGGTGGCACTCAGGTTTTATGCCAGTGGGAACTTTCAAACTGTCACTGGTGATCTTCATGGCATAAGCAAAGCTAGTGTTTCAAGAGTAGTAAATGCTGTATCATCAGCTCTAGTAACTTTGAGTTCCCATTATATAAAATTTCCACAAGACGATAGAAGTATTAATAACACCATACTTGGCTTTTCTCGCATGGCAAATTTTCCTAACGTCATTGGAGCGATAGATGGAACTCATATTCCAATTAAAGCCCCGAAAAATGACGAGCATCTGTTTGTTAACAGAAAAAATTTTCATTCTATAAATGTAATGGCAGTTTGTGATTCCAGGACAAAATTTACTAACTTAGTTGCCAAGTGGCCTGGTTCATCACACGATTCTTTTGTGTGGACAAATTCAACACTTAGTGATCTTTTTGAAAATGGATATATTATAAGAGGTTGGTTGCTTGGGGACAGTGCATACCCTCTGAAAAATTATCTGATGACACCAGTCCTTAACCCAAGCAATCCCCGTGAATTAGCTTACAACGATGCGCATGCTAAGACGAGAAACCCTATTGAAAGAAGCTTCGGAGTGCTTAAAATGCGCTTTCGCTGCATTGATCATTCTGGTGGAACGCTTCTGTTTCATCCAACAAGAGCATGTAGAATTGTGACTGCCTGTGTTGTTCTGCACAACTTGTGCACTGATCACAATGTTCCGGTGCCACAAGCACAAAATCCTGGGGCATATCAACTTAATCCACCAGATATCTACGTCTATCAAGGACCCAATGATGACGGAGCCGAGATCCGCCAAAGATTGATTCTCTCTAGATTTTAAGGTGGCACCACAAAAAAAAACTGTGCATTCATGAAATATGGTGCCGTTTTCATTTTATGTATTTAGTAAGCATGGATTCGGAACCAAATACACATTAATATTTATTAGAAATATTTTGTTTATCTGTATATTATCCAACTGTTTGTGAAATGGGGAGGAGTGATAGAAGGTGATTTGGTTTTTATAAAATATTGGTAACTTTTATAAAAAGCGTTTGATGTCCAATTTTCCAATGCTCATAGTAAAATAATAAAGTGTTCAAGTTATCGAGAACAAAAGTAAAATCCATCTACAAGGTTGGTCCCTTGACCCACAACTTTCAAAATTAAAATTCTATTATGCAGCAGCTGCTTACATACAATAATTGTTATTAATTATACCCTCTATCAAATAATTTTTATCACCAAATTTTGATGGAACAATTTTTGAACATCACCCATAGCGATTGTGAATTTGTTCTCTATCAAGATTGTTGTGATTGTAATGAGCACAAAAATAAATAACATGTAGTAAATTGAACACATTTCTACAGGTTTTTTATTTATTTTCAGAGGGGGTGTTGACTGTTACTGTAGCGTCACGAACTATCCCCAGCTGACATAGGTGAAGAGCATGTTGTTCACGTTGTATTTGTAGTTGCTGCTCTGCAATTTCAAGTCGCCGTTCTTCAACTTTCAGTCGTTTTTCCTCCATTTCTAATCTTTTTTTCTCAACAACCAGCCTCTCTTCCTCTGTTGCAACTAGTCTCAATGTTATGTCATCATTACAAGAATTCTTTGAGCGTTTCTTTGCTGGCTGTACATGTACATCGGGAAGTCTTTTTCCTGTAATCAAAATTCATATTTTACAACCAGAAATACGAAATTCATGTAAACAAAATCGCGAAACTTTTTTTTTCGTAAAATATATTAAAACATTAATTTTGTTATTTTATCTCAATGTCAAAATTTCCATGGAGTATTATAAAATGGTGAATAAATGAGATATTTGTTTTCTCTTCATGCTAAATAATTGTATGAAGAATTCATAAAACTACAAAATATCAGACAAAAAATTATCACTCAAAGTTGCATACGACTTTCCTTATAGTGTAGAGCATACCCACCTCTGTAGAAAAAAAAAATCAAACACTATGTATCCTCTCGTACCTTTGTAAGACATCTCACTTCAGTGCTATTTATTATTCACTATTTACAGGATTGGTGAAATAGTAGTTTTAGGAACACCCCCCTTTCACCGGGAAGTCTAATGAGTATCACCCTTAAACCTACCATTTACAGCATCTGTGCTCTTGCTTGGTGACGTTTCCCTGGCCGACTCTGTCTCTAAAACGTCAATGCCCCCCTCAATTCCCGAAATTGAGGTTTCCCCGATGATACCTTCTATTTTCTCATCTATTGGTCTGAAGGCGGCCCCTGATGGCAAAGATCCTCCCCCTGTCTTTTTTTGCTCCCTCCTGTTTAGTGCCAACTTCTTTCTGCTTTCGCTGCTTAAGCAGGTCCACTTCTTTTTCATTTCTTCTCCGGACCTGATGTGATCTGTAGTATTTACAGCATTTACCTTGGTGGCTATTTTGTTCCATGTTTCCTTCTTCAAAGAATTGGAAACTGTTGAATTTTGCCTGGAAAATAGAATGTCTTTTCCTTTCTCCACTTCATCTGTTAACACAGTTATCTCAGCAGAGCTAAAATTTGGGCATCTTTTCAGAGACATTTTCTTACTAGAATTTTTTCTGAGCGCACGGACTTCGTACCCGTTTTGTGGCCACAGATGAATGCATTCGAATACCATTCATTTCGTGTATACAAGCGCAAATGGGGTGGTGGATCAAATTTAAAGTAAATTCATATGAAATATTTAACAATTCAAATTAAACATAATTAACTTTTATTTCATCAACAAACATACGCATTTTTTCAATACTTTTTGTCACACAATTTTCTCATTCGAATTAATTCATACATAATCATGGCACAATTAGCATTATTGACTCTGCTCCTACATCCCCCGCCCCACCAAAAATTTGAACATTGTACATGTATTTGGTACATTCAAATTTTATTTTCGAGCGTTTAACTCCTTTACAATATTTAAGATACACTTTTTAAAAAACAAAATTAAGAAAAAAATAACATATCAGTGATTTGATTGGAAGAAAACTTAACATCGAGCATGAATATTTTTATTTTAATTTTTTATACAATTTCCTATAAAATTGTAGCATGAGATATATCTTAAGACTTGTCTTAAGAGATAGTTTTGTGAAACAGCTGTGACAGATCTTATGATTGTCGTAAGTCAGATCTTAAGATTGTCTTAAGATCTGTCTTAGGACAAATCTTAAGATAGTTTTGTGAAACGCGCCCCAGTATTACAGCCAATAGATTATAGATTTAAATAAACACGAACACGTGTTTTTCAAACGTTTGATAAATACACGCTGAATTGTAGACGGATTTTTCCGTTAGTTCCCGATCATGACAAGGAGCGGGTGTGACCAGGGATAATGATAATGTGTAATGGTAATTGACAGTAATAAATTACTAATTTCAATGTAATTGAAAGTAATGTGTAATTAGCCATATTTTCAATTACATGTAATTATAATTTAATTAATTACCTTTGAGAAAGGGCATGTAATTCACAATTTGTTTTCAATTACATTCAACTACATGTACACTGATGCTGAATGAATGAAAAATAAGCTGCCCCTCCCCCCTTTTTTTGCCGTCATCATAAATCTGTACAAATTTCCATAACTTTTCAGAACATTATTGGGAAAAATTTTAAATGAAAATGTGAAATCTATGTGGTTTTATTCATTTTACTTATATAAACATGACTTAAGTTGTTATTTTTATGATTTTTGAAGAAAGTTTGTATCAACTGTCCTTAACCCATTAACTGATCTTTTGGATAAAATCGTTATTTTTTTTAAAGGGAATTTACATATTTCCTCTTTTTATGAATTGCTGTTTCCTCTTATGCATTTTCTTTAAAACTTTTAAATCAAATGAAAATCCACTTATGACGTCACTCTTTTGTGTGAGCGCTCCATTATTTTTCAGGAATGGAGAGTTGCAAATTATATTGAAACGGCATTTGCTATGTTCAAATTCTCCTTCCTGTGCCCCTACGAAAGAAAGAACTTAAAAAAATTCATTAAGGTAGTATGGGATACCTCCACGTTATGACGTATTTCCGTTTGAAGTATTGTTTTGATTTGCATGAGTGCTTATTTTCGGGTCAAAATGTGTAGATACACCGTTTAAAAGAACACTCTGAAGCTATTTCAATTTTAGTTCTCACAAGTCGGCATTTTAAGTAAAAATAGACAAAAAAGTCGCTAGTATATAAATTTACTTATAATTGTTCTACGGTCATTTGAAAAGCAAACCCCTGTAAAAGGTACTTTCAACATTATTGCTTTTAAACACAATTAAGCAAAAGCTGTATTTCAATTGTTTGAGTAAATGTACAGCACCTTGTGTGCGGTGAGGCATGGATAAGTACGATTACTTCACATTGTGCTGAATTATTATTTATTTATTTATTTATTTATTTTTATTATTATTAACATTTATAAAGCGCACAATTTTACAAATAAAATGCAATCAATGGCGCTGTACATGTACATGTAATTAAAATGACCTAAACAAAGTTAAACAACTAAATAAGATAAGTATAAAAACTATTTTAACTGAAAATAAAACAAAGTTATATAGTTATCTTATAATTAAAACGTCAATTGAATGCACTTCTAAAATAAAAAGCTTTTAAATGTCTCTTAATTAAAAACGTTAAAATCGCTGATGGCTCGTATGTTAGGAGGTACCTCGTTCCACATGGTAGGTCCTGAAATGGCGAAGGATCTTGAAGCAAATGTTTTGCGATTGGGACGGTGAGAGTTTTAGCTACATTTTTCACTAACAAATTTCCTAAAGCTTAAATGTTCATCCAAGTAACATCCAAGATATTTGATATACAGGAGTTTGAGAACATTTGCACCAACCACTTTGATCAATTTCAATGAAGACGCAGATAGCATTTTTTGACTTCCGAATAACATAAATTCCGTTTTACTTGGGTTAAGTTTAAGTCTGTTCAAATTCATCCAATCATTAATGTCTAACAGAACGGTTTCCCAATTTTGTAACACATGATGTTCATCAGTTTTGGCCTTTGGATCAAAGCTGTCATACACAGAGTGATCATCTGCAACCCAAGTAGTGAGACGTCATATTCTTTGATGAAATTTTGTAACGTACTTGCATAAACAGTATAAAGAACTGGGCCACACATGCTGCCTTGTGCTACAGAGAAATCTAATTGTCTAGGTTGAGATTTTGACGTATTTATCTGAACTTCGGCCATCCTAGGGGAAAGATATGCTTTAAACCATTTAACTACTGAATCTGATACCCCAAAATTGGTGTGTAAAACATTACCAAGTATATCATGGTCGACAGTGTCGAAAACAGCCGAAAGATCTAATGCCACTACAGCTATAACCTATTGTTTTTCCATTTTCCAAAGTATATTAAAAGTGAGTTTGAGAAGAGCAGTTTCAGTATTAAATCCCCTCCTGTACGCGCTCTGATAATCTGGTAGTAATTTACAGGAATCCAAGTATTTCGTAAACTGAATTAAGGCACATTTTTCAACTATTTTCGAAATATAACTTAAATTGCTCACCGGGCGATAATTTGAGAATATTGTTTCCAAGGCTTTCTTTTTCAACAGTGGGATTGTTTTTTTTCCCCACTTTTGTGCAAATGTGCCAGATGCAAGGGATTTGTTAACCATAATGGTTATTGTTGAAAACATTCTGATTGTACACACAAGTACTCTGAAGTTGACATTAAAAAGATGCTTGAGTTTCTGATTGACAATATCTATATGGTTTTTGGAGACAAGGTCTTCCAACAATCTATTGGAATTCCTATAGATACCAATTGCGCCCCGTTATTAGCAGACCTTTTTTTGTATTCATATGAAGCAGAATTTGTCCAAAATCTTGTACGTGAAAAGAAGAAAACACTTGCTGTGGCGTTCAACTCGACAATTAGATATATCGACGACGTATTGTCAATTAACAATGGCTATTTTCATTCTTATGTCGATACGATATATCCTGGTGAACTTGAGATAAAAGATACCACAGAGTCTGACACATCTGTTTCATATTTGGATATTTTACTTGAAAAAGACGTTAATGGTAATCTAACAACCAAGCTTTATGATAAACGTGATGACTTTAACTTTTCAATCGTCAACTTCCCTTACTTATGCAGCAATATACCTTCATCACCTGCATATGGGGTATATATCTCTCAGTTGATTCGATACGCAAGAGCATGCTCTACGTATGTACAATTTCTAAAACGAGGTAAATTATTGACAAATAAGTTGATGAAACAAGAATATCAGCTGTCTCGTTTAAAGTCATCATTTCGTAAGTTCTATGGTCGATACAATGACCTTGTCAGCAAATACAATTTATCTTTGAGTCAAATGCTGACTGAAGTTTTTCATACTAATTGTTAGGCCATTATTTACACACTGAATTGTCGACGGATTTTTCCGTTATTTCCCGATCATGACAAGGAGCACACGGCGGGTGTGACCGGTCGGCAGGGGATGCTCACTCCTCCATGGCACCTGATCCCACCTCTGATGTTTGGAGGTCCGTGTTTGCTCTGCACCTATTTTGTATTGTATAATGGACTTTTGAGCTTGAATACTGTTCGTTATCTCCATATATTTCATTGGTAATAACACCTTGGCATATTGTTTTACCAATTTTGATGGAATTGGGTCTGTGGGGCATGTTGTTGGCTTTGCATTCCTGATCACCTGTAGAACGTCGTTTTCCGAGACTGTCTCAAAATGATTAAACTGTTCTGTACATTTTATTCCGAGATTTGGATCAGACTGTTCGAAATCATCTAATGTTTTACGAATTTTCAATATTTTTTCCATAAAGAAGGAGCTGAATTCGTTTGCCAATAACTCATCGTTGGTATTCGGTGGCATAGGATTGCCTTTTACTCCTCCGATTAAACCAAAAACCAGTTTATACATTTTAGATGCATCTTTGCCACATTCAGCGATAGACGAATTGATATGTTTGAACTTGTTATATCTTAAATGTTTCCTGTAGGTTTTTTAGGTTTGCCCATCTGAACGTGTTGTCATTGTCCTCAGTCTTGTCACTTCTCCATCTCCTTTCAGCTGACCTACATCGTGCTTTAAGGTGACTCGATTCCTCTGTAAACCACGGTAAAGTTGGTCGGATCGTTACTAGTTTTTCCTTTTCAGGGGCATGTTTGTCTAAGATGTTTTTTAGTTCAGAGTTATCGAACTTAGCTAAGCCTTCAATATTGGGTTGTTCTGTCGCATTGGCATTAAATTTCTTAAGATCCTGAATAAATTCCGTTGGGTTTATGTCCTTAATATTCCTGACTTTCCTAGATTCCCTGGTGATCTTAGGCTTAGATAAGGACATAAATGTATGAATGAAGCTATGATCGCTAATTTGAAAGTCTTGGTTGGTTCTAAGCAAACTATCTTACCACTATTTCGCACCATAATTAGATCAAGCGTACATGTATTTCCGGATCGATGTGTCGGACAGTTTACAAGCTGTGTCAATCCCATAACTTCACAAAGTTCAGTCAAGACAATAGTCGTCACTTTTGTTGTAATGGATGTTAAAATCACCACAGATGATAACAGCGTTACAATTTCTTGAAAACAGACGGATAACATTTCATGAAAGTCTACAATTGCTCATCACTTCTGAAATATCGGATCTTTTAATTAAAAAAAAAAATTAAGCGGATTATAAAACAGCGTAAACTGACCCAAACCAGGTTATACTCGAATAATTTGGCCAAGAATTAGAATCATTCCTTATAATTTAATTCTAAAATCATTAAACAACTGTGGGTGTAAAATTTCGTTGTTTTTTATTAGTTCAAATTTGCCGCTCAATAATACAACCCTAGTAACGGAAGTGATGGGAAGCGAGGGGAGGTAAAAACTGATACATAGTCCCAGCAGCCATGTTGTTTTGTTTACATTTGGTAAGAGATTCTTTTGAATGCTGAAAAAGAAAACATCAAGGCAAAATGCATCCATTGTTTTACGTAAATATACCAGAAAGCTAAAAATGACATCAAACTTTGTCACACAAATGAATTACGATACAAGCATGAGTAAACTTGCTACAAGTCAGTATCTATTTATTTCTGTCACAAATGTCCCAGTAGAAAGTATCTTCAATGTAGCAGGAATATCTTCAAACCTGATAGATGTAAGTTAGGGGACACAATATTTGAAAATGTCATGTAAATAAAATGTTATATCTGAATCTGATATGAATATAAAGGAACGTTCTGAACAATTTATTTAAATGTTTTCTTAAAATGTAATTTGTAATTTAATTAATTACATTTGCAAAGTAATTGTAATTTAATTAATTACATTTCAAAATCCTTGTAATGTATTGATAATTCAATTGAAGGTTTTGGGCAAGTATTTGTAATTCAATTAATTACTTTCCTATGTAATTGACCCCATCCCTGGGTGTGACCGGTCAGCAGAGGATGCTTTCTCCTCCTCCATGGCACCTGATCCCACCTCTGATGTTTTAAAGGTCCATGTTTGCTCTGCTCCAAAATTTGTATTGTTTAACGGACTTTTGAGCTTGAATACTGTTCGTTATCTCCATACATTTCATTGATACCACTTTATCAATGTCTTTTCTTGCTTACCATTAGTGCAACACCACTCTGATGATCTTGATCCTGGCCTGATTATATTAAGGTCTCACCACTACTATTAAAAGTCATTTGTCCGGAGCCTATCCAACGTGCTTCACTAATACAGAGAATGCTGGTGTAATATTGCCTCACCATTTATATAATGTATATGAAAAAAAAAATACAAGTAACGTAATGAATACATAAATAAAAGCTTGTCGTTTAAAGAAGAGATGAAAAAGGCTAGTAAAGTGTATTTTACATGAAATACAAAAACTCAACAAGGGGCCTATGGGCCACATTGCTCACCTGAGCACTTTGGTCAGAGAAAAGCAGAAATCAGTTCAGTATTGAACAGTTTAAATGTTTGTGGTCCCACCCTACCCGGGAGGGGCAGGGGAAGGGATCATGATCTGAGCAAACTTGAATCTACACTAAATGAAGATGCTTCCATATTTATATGACTAATCACTGCTTTAAGAGATTTTTGAATATTTTATCATATATTCCTATGTAAAAGTTTGATCTTCTATTGTGGCCCCGCCCTACCCACGGGGGCATGATTTGAACAACCTTGAATCTACACTACCTGAGGATGTTTCTATATTAATATGACCAATCATGATTCTGCGGTTCTTGAGGAGATTCTTATAGATTTTTTCTATATATTTCTATGTAAAAATTTGATCGACCATTGTGGCCCCACCAAATTTGAACAAAAATGAAACTACACTACCTTAGGGTGCTTCCATTTTAAAATGACTTATCATGGCTTCGCTGTTGTTGAGGAGAAGATCTTTAAAGATTTTTTCTATATATTCCTAAGTAAAACTTGATCGCCCATTGTGGCCCCACCCTAGCCCCGGGGTGTATGATTTGAAGAAACCCGAATCTATCCTACCTGAGGATGCTTCCTTATAAATATAACTAATTATGGCTTTATTGTTCTTGACAAGAAGATTTTAAGATTTTTTCTTTATGGATTTCCATGTTAAACTTTGTTCGCCCATCGTTGTCCCACCCCACTCGTGGGGTCATGATTCGAAGAAACTTGAATCTACACTACCTGAGGATGCTTTCATATCAATACGACTAATCATGGCTTTGTTTATTTTCAAACAGTTTTCCTATGTATTTCCATCTAAATTTTGATCGCCCATTGTGGCTCCACCCTAGCCCTGGGGGTCATATTTTGAAGAAACTTGATTCTACACTACCTAAAGATGCTTTGATACAAATAATCATGGCTTTGCTGTTCTTGAGAAGATTTTTCCTATATATTCCTATGTAAATCTGTGATTGTGGTATTACTCTAGTCCCGGGGGTCATGATTTGATGAAATTTTGATATACACTGTGTAGTGAAGCTTTCACCTAAGTTTCATCTTTTCTAGCCCAGTTGTTACTGAAAAGATTTTTAATAGATGACATTAAATTTTCACTAATTCTTAATCATCTCCCCTTGAAAGACGGCTTAGCCCTTCATTTGAACTAACTTTAATCCCCGTCACCTAATGAATACTTTTGGCAAATTTGGGTGATATTGGCCAAGTGGTTCTTTGAGAAGGAGTCGAAAATATGAAAAGTTTACAGACGACACATGACAGACGGACACCAGACACTCTTCGATCAGAAAAACTTACTTGATCTTTCAGCTCAGGTGAGCTGAAGTAGTAATTCAGAACTTTTTTTTGAAATATATTTTCATTCAGAAAAAAGTAAGAAAAATCTGTTATATATCACAATCTTGATATGTAAATCTTATTCACTTCATAAATCAGACATGCCAAATTCCATGTTTATTTCAAGTGTTGTATCACTTTAACGTCTCCGGAACTAAATAATCCAACCCACAACCTCCCTTCACAGTCAATACTCAGTCCCATAGGTTTATCTCCTCCTAGTTTGTCCACACATCTTAGGAACTGGCCATTCTGATCTAAAATGTGTAAACAGTTATTGCGTTCATCGGCCACAATGATGTGACTCATGGAGTCTGTTACTATTTGTCTGGGACAGAATGGTTTCTTTCCCCCTGGAGGTTTGTTGTTGTATCTGAATCTAAATTTTCCTGTCCTGTCCACCACTACCAGTGCTCTAGCATTAAGATCAGAGGCCACTATGTCTCCATTGTTGTTCTCCACGACATAAATTACATATTTCCCTCCTTGATAGATTTGATCACCATGTTCATCTTTATTTATTACCTGTATCACTCTTTGTCCTTGGTAACGAACTATTTTGAATTGATTATAATCAGTAGTACACATACCAACTAGGATTTCCCCTGATCTGTTAAAGCACAGTCCTGTTGGATGCCAGCCCATTGGTGTTGTGATTAGTGTCTCTGTCTTTCCACCTCTGACAATGTTCACAGTTGTATTATGACCATCACTATACATTACATCTCCATGTGTGTTCACTGTAATATCATTAGGGAAGAACTCACGTGTACTGGTGACAGTGTCTTGTACAGCTCCATGTAAGTCTATACAGGTTAGCATTTTGTCTTTTCCACTTACCCAAGCCTTATTCGATCCCACACAGGCCACTTTAAATAAGTTTTTAACATTTGTTTGAATGTTTGCAATCACTCTGGCCTCTTCCAATAATTCCTTAACTGTTGAAAAGGAGATTTCATCTGTCAGACTGGATAGTGATGTCTGTGTCAGTGTAGTCTTGTATTCTCCTAACTCTATACTGATTTCTCTCCCTTGGACCGTGTTTGTTTGAAGAGAGGGAAATGGTAAATCAGGTATTTGTGGAATAGTTTTGTATTCATCCAGTCTTGATTTGTAGTTTGTGACATCAGAAACATTGTAAGACTTAAGAATTTCTTTTTTTTCTTGAACAGTTTGGCTCATACTGGAATTCTGAATTCTGAGTTGGAACTGGCATGATTGAAGAGTTGTAATATGATGATCTCTGAGTGATTGGATCAGTGACTCAATTTTGTTAAAGATGTTGTCCACCTCTAAGTGCCATTGATTTCTTTGATCAGTAGCTTGTTTTCCTAGAGCTGCAAAATGAGTGATAGTTTTAGAAATTTTGTTTTCAGCATATGCTTCTTGTGCTGCGTGTTTGGAAATGATGACCTCAATTTCTTCTGCTTCTCTTTTGATAATTTCTTTCTTCATTGCAATGATGACTGCTATGTCCACAACCTCATGATCCTGATGTAGACCTGTGAGACATTTTATGCAGACCGGGACATCACACTGTTGACAGTGAACCTCACATCTCTGGTGGGAATGAGATGTACACTGAGGGAAGACAAGCTGTACTGTACGCTTTGTGAAAGGAACAATGTCATGCTTCATGGACTTGAGATTGTTGACATGTTTGTTGATGCAGTCTTCACACAGACCGACTTGGCAGCTGTTACAAAATTGCTGGACAGGTTTGATACAAATGTTGCAAGTGATGACATCCTGTGCCTGAGTGACGGCAGAGGCCATTACTTTCCCTAAAGGCTGTGGTCATCCTGTAAAAAGATTTTTTTATATTATTAGATAAAGAAATGATCGTATGTATATATAATTTTTGATATCCATTGAATATTTTCTTTTTTATTTCTTATGTTTACATCTAAACTGTCAGTTAATTATAGCCATCTTTCACTCCAGATATGGAGGAAGTGTTAATTGTCAACCGTTTCATATGTCTCTTCAATTATGTAACGTACAGATCGATAGAACATATTTATGCTCTTTTACCCGCTTTATATAAAGTATATACAGATATATATAATTAAAATATAAGTTTTAGAATGTCTTTTCTTGTTAATAAAAAAGATAAGGATCGCAATCATTGCAGAAAATTACTCAACTCGCTTAGGCGGGTTAGCAATGTTGCAAAAGTTCATTCTCGTATAAACAAAGAGAGCAATTTATTGATAAATTTACCAAAAAAAGTATATGTAGTAAATTATCCTTTGTCTAAATTAAATATGCTTTCTCTCAAGATCAGTACACAATTGCAATGAAACTAAAACATATAAATATTTTCGAGGATATTATATAAAAAATTACACTATATGCCCTAATTCTTGGTACATGTTTTAGAATGTAATTTTAGGTCACAAATATGTTGTTTCTTTAGTTTACATTCATTCTCTTTATAAATAGTATACATAGATCATACATATATACATAGATCAATGGATATTAAATTTTTGCCAGCACTAACACGAATATCAATTAGCTCAGAATGATAGTAATGATCTTTCTTGTGTCATAGCAGGTCTGCCCTAAATGCATTATTTTTTTTTTCGTATGCATATTTACCATTGAGAAAATAAAAATGTGAAGACACTTTGGATTACTATTACCAAAGAAAATAAAACTCCGACAATATAGATCTTGTAAGAATTAGGAATTCGAAATAAATCTTCAGTAGGAATAAAGTGTTTATTTTAATACTTTGCACATGAACTAGTATAATTAACTTGAGATATTGTGTATTTTTAACGCCGTTCCCTCATAATTATTTGTTCCAGGCCTAAGCCTATTGTTCCATGGAAGTAATGCCTTTTATTTAAGTTCTCAGGATGACTTAAAAGAATATTGATTGTTTATTAAATTTGAGGTAGCACCAACGTTGATCTAGAAGAAAATACCCCTGTCATAGCTAAACCTTATATCAAGCGGTTAGAATTTTATTAATCTTTACATTATTAAATCGAACGTTAGCATATTTTAATATAAAATTATTTTGTTAATACGTACAAAATTCTTTGGCGAGACAAAAGGATTATTTTTTCTTTGATAACAAAAAGGTGTGTTAGCTTTTAGTCCAACTTTCGGTTTGGTATTAAGATAATTTTACATAGAGTGTCTAACCTATTGAACAGAGGTGCAGGAGTTATGTCTCTTTCATCTGTTTATTTTTTAAATAAATCAAGTGCTATATATATATCCAATTTTAGTGACCGGTTACTAGGCGCTCGGAAAGAAGTTCTGCAGGAATAGACTGTGAGTTGTCTCCGAAACGAAAACACAACATGTACGCTCAAAATAATACACCCTCTCCAATAAATTGTAACCCATATCAAAGCATTTCCTTAAGCTCCACCAGTAAGATAATAGCTAGTTCAAATGAGGTTCTAAATGTTAGACCCGAGTCAATTCAAATAACAAATAAATCGATGACAGACGGAGCCCCCATGGTCAGTCCAAATCTCCAGCAGCATCCCCAATTCTGTGTACCACCAGGGTATCCCCATTTCCCTGCTCCCCCTGTTCAGAACATTCTAGTAGATATCCATAATAAGTTGTCAAAGTTGAACTATCTTGATAAAATTTTAGCGAAGTTAAATAACCTAGAAAAGAGGTTCTCACATATGGAACAAACTATCCACGAAATTGCAGAGGAAGTAGCTAAGTGTAAATCAAGCTCTGATGCTTTGGAAGACACTACAAATGCAATCCTAACCCTGATTTAGCTAAAACAAAAGGCGAGCTTTTGGATCTGAAACCAGAACAATGCAAGACAATTTAGTATTTTTCAATATTCCCGAAAAGCAATTGAAAAACCTGAGGACACAGAACAAATTTTGTATGAATTTATGGAGAATGACATGAAGGTAGACAGTGAATTGACCAAAATAATCAGCTTTGAGAGGGTTCATACATCAGGACCTGTTGAAAAGAAAAATCATAGGAAAATTGTAGCAAAATTTAGTTTTCACAAGGAGAACGAAATTGTTCGATCCCATTCAATAAATCTGAGGGGTACAAACTTCTTTGTCCGGGAACAGTTTCCTACTGAGGTCCTTGAAACTAGAAAAAAAAACTATATCCTTCATATAGAGGAGCCAGAAAAAATAATCAACGAGCAAATCTGGTTGTGAATAAACTCTATGTAGGCGGAAAAAATAATCAACGAGCAAATCTGGTGGTGAATAAACTCTATGTAGACGGAAAAAATAATCAACGAGCAAATCTGGTGGTGAATAAACTCTATGTAGACGGAAAAAATAATCGACGAGCAAATCTAGTTGTGAATAAACTATATGTAGACGGAAAAAATAATCAACGAGCAAATCTGGTGGTGAATAAACTTTATGTAGACGGAAAAAATAATCAACGAGCAAATCTGGTGGTGAATAAACTTTATGTAGACGGAAAAGAGACAAACCGCTAAACGACACAGCTTAGGACAGCAGAGAAGGTTTAAGTCAACATCATTTAAAGATATGTAGCTGAAACATTCAGAGATCTTTAGATAAAAAAATAAAGGATGAAAATTTCCAAAATCTTTTAAGAGAAAATGATTTGATTTTTTTATGCGAAACATGGTTAGAAAGTGATGATTGTGAATTGTGTGATTTTGACATTTTCCCACATGTACAGAGAAGTAAATGTAAAGGCGGTGGGTTGTTTTGTGCTTCGAAACACTGGTTAAAAAATTTTTTTTTGTCTTTTTCTGAGATTCTTAATGATAGTATCATCTGGTTAAAACTAGATAGGCAATTATTTGATTCCGAAACAGATCTTTATGTGGCCTTTACCTACATTCCACCTGAAGGCAGTATATATTACTCCGCATATAATATTGAAATATTTGATGTTTTAGAAGTCAGTATTGCTAAATATTCGTCTCGTGGAAATGTTATCGTTATGGGAGACTTGAATAGTAGATGTAGAACGGCAGTGGATTTTATCGAATCGGATATCATCTATAAAACCTTACAGAATCATATTTTAAGTGTACTAAGTTATATTCCAGATGAAGAAATTACGAAACGAAAAACATAGGATCTTAGTACTAATTCTCATAAACGGGCCCTCATTTCTTTGTGTAAATCCACGCAGCTAAGAATTCTAAACGGTCGGTCTTCTGAAGACAAAACGGAAAAGTAATATTTTGTAGTGCGAGAGGAACTAGTTTAATAGACTATGTCCTAGTTGAAGATATTTTCTTGCGAGACAATTTGTGTAATTTCTGTGTTGGCGATTTTAATATGCATTCGGATCACGCGCCTATTTATCTTACATTAAATACAAAAGCAAACAAAAAAAGAGGACCACAATATTCACCCCGTCCCTTCTATGAAGTCGATAAAAATATCATGGGATCCTGATGCAACAAATGAAATTAAAATACATGTAGACAACTGTATGCCAAATATAATATCTTCCTTGGAAAATATCGACGAATCTCCAGAGGGCATCAACAACACAGTTAAACACTTCTCAGATGCAATATTGGATACGTTTAAAAAGTTCACATATAACCCTAATAAGAAACATTACATAGCAAAAACATCAAGGACTGAGGACAAACCATGGTTTGATGATCAGTGTCGAGCTTTATATAAAGAATGCAGGAAAAATTTGGCGTCTTTCAACATAGCTAGAACACGAGAGAATCATGAAAACTTGTTACTGCTAAAAAGAAATATAAAGCAGTGGAAAATCGACTTAAAAACAAAATCAAAGACAAGAGGGAAATCAACTAGAGTTGCTCCTCTTATACAACCCAAAAAGATTTTACCGCGTTTTAAAAGGACCGAAAAATAAAGTTGATTCAACTCTAACGAAAAGTAAAAAGCTTTGAAAAGTGTTTCCATGATAATACTGAACTTGAAATTGTTGATATATTCACATACTTAGGAGTTGATTTAAAATACAATGGTAAATTTGATTGTTCACAGAAATCATTTGCTACCAAAGCTAAAAAGTGTACTTTATCTTTGCGAAAAGGGTGAAAGGGAATGATCTAAATGTTGAGACTACACTCTCTTTATTTGATACATATGTAGGTTCTGTTCTTCATTATGGATGTGAGACATGGGGATTCATAAAGCCCCACATGTTGAGCAAGTATACATATTAACTTTTTGAAGAAAATTATGTTGCTTCGAAAATATACAAATAACTTAATGATTTATTTCGAATTTGGTAGATGCCAAATGTATGTTCAAAGAAAACTTCGAATTCTGAAATTCTGGTGTAATTTACTCAATACAAATAATTGCATTCTGCAGACATGTTATAAACAACCGTTATATGCAAGTATGAAGAACAACAGGAAAATTGTACAAATTGGTTAAGTGCAGTTAGAAATAAACTATATTGTTTAGGACTTGGAAGTTTTTGGGAACAACAAGAAGTTGGTAATGTTAAACAATTTTCTTTTCTTGTAGAACAGCATCTTTAACTGACATTTATACAAAATTGTTATAGTGCTTTTGAAAGCTCGTCAAAATGTATTTTGTATTAAGAAATAATTGACACATTTGATTTAAAAAGATATCTGGTGAAGCGATTGACATACAAAGAAAAGTCTGTGTTATGTTAATGTCGAATTTCTGCACATTCTTTGAATATTGAAAATAGAAGGTATGAAAACCTACCCCGAAATAAATGCAAATGTTTATTTTGTAAGATGAAAGAAGTAGAAGATGAATTTCACTTTGTTTTGATATGCCCGGCATTTTCTGATTTACGTAAAAAATATATTAAGCCTTATTATCATAAAAAAGCCTTCCTTTTTCAGACTCATTCAACTTTTTAGTGCATATAATTTTAAAACTAATCAGAAACTTTGTCAATTTTTATTGAAAGGTACAAAACAAAGGGAAACACTAATTTGTTAAATATCATTAATGATGTTTCAAATTTCAGTTAGTTAGATTCTATCTTTGTTACAAACTCTTTATATCCATACATTTATATATTGTAGTTCATTTTGAATCCTCTGCCATTTGCCTATATTGTATTTATTTTGTGTACCTGTGAGCCACAAGGTTCCTTTGGTCAACAATAAACAATAAACTCCGTCTTTGTACATGTAAACAAAACAATGCGTCGCCGCTGACCGAGGGATGTGTTACCCTTTTGCACACATTTGATAATTGGGGAGTGTACTCACTAAAAAAATGCACTTTTAATTTTGGAAAATGACAATATAATGTACAGGAAATAATACTGTCAGTTAATCAGTTCAGGAATAATGCAAATAAATAAGTGAATGATTTTTTAAATATAACTGTATGACGATAAAAAAAATGTTCCAAATAAATTACACTGTATGATGAGAATGAAGAAATCTTGATTTTTTCCCAAATACTCGGGTACGGATTTTCCCAATTACAAAAAAATACTATAGTTAACTATAGTGATAACTTTGACACTATGTAAACTATAGTTAACTATAGTGATAACTTTGACACTTTGATTTACTAAAGTGATAACTTTGAAAACTTTGATTTACTATAGTGATCACTATGGAAACTTTGAATTACTATGGTAAAAACTTTGATTTACTATAGTGATCACTTTGAAAACTTTGATTTACTATAGTGATAACTATGAAACTATAGTTCAGTCTTTGTGTCTACGCTGACAGGATGTCTTGATTTCCTGATTTTATTAATTTTGGGTGTAGCAGTTTACTGCATTCTTGAGTATTGAATTCCAGGATTTCAGGACTTGCAGCTACTTTACATACATTATGTAATCCAGACCCTTTAATATGGTCAAAAGGAAATCAAGACATTCTGTCAGCTTAGACACAAAGACTGGTATGACCAGTTCTGACCATAAATACACTGCCCTAAAGGAGATTTCCCTCCAAAACCTCGTCCAATGAAATCTCACTAATCGGTCACTTCATAGGTCACTGACCTCTCAAAGTTAATTACCATAAGAGAAACTTATATTTATTCATACTAAAGTAATTCCTAAATAATTATATCTTCTAAAGTATAATATACCTTAAATAAATAATAAAATGCTGAAATAGAAATAAGTTAAATTAAATAAATTTCTTGTAAAAAATAATATCAAAAATTATTTTGTAGACAATAATACTAAACATGTCAAATAAATACAAAATTCTAAAATACTAAAACTATATACACTTTTCAAATATTTACACTTTACCACAGTCAGATTAATTGAGAGACCAGACAGTCTGTGGAAGGTGCGTTAGTACAGAGTCAGACTAGTGGAGGAGCCAGATAGTACAGAAACTAGACAGTCTATGGAAGGTGATTAATACAGAGTCAGATTAGTGGAGAGATCAGACAGTCTATGGAAGGTGATTAATACAGAGTCAGATTAGTGGAGGGACCGGACAGTCTATGGAAGGTGAGTAATTACAGAGTCAGATTAGTGGAGGGACCAGACAGTCTATGGAAGGTGATTAATACAGAGTCAGATTAGTGGAGGGACCGGACAGTCTATGGAAGGTGAGTTAATACAGAGTCAGATTAGTGGAGAAACCAGACAGTCTATGGAAGGTGAGTTAATACAGAGTCAGATAAGTGGAGAGACCAAACAGTCTATGGAAGGTGAGTAATTACAGAGTCAGATTAGTGGAGGGACCGGACAGTCTATGGAAGGTGAGTAATTACAGAGTCAGATTAGTGGAGGGACCAGACAGTCTATGGAAGGTGATTAATACAGAGTCAGATTAGTGGAGGGACCGGACAGTCTATGGAAGGTGAGTTAATACAGAGTCAGATAAGTGGAGAGACCAGACAGTCTATGGAAGGTGAGTTAATACAGAGTCAGATTAGTGGAGAAACCAGACAGTCTATGGAAGGTGAGTTAATACAGAGTCAGATAAGTGGAGAGACCAAACAGTCTATGGAAGGTGAGTTAATACAGAGTCAGATTAGTGGAGGCGCCAGACAGTCTATGGAAGGTGAGTTAATACAGAGTCAGATAAGTGGAGAGACCAGACAGTCTATGGAAGGTGAGTTAATACAGAGTCAGATAAGTGGAGGGACCAGACAGTCTATGGAAGGTGAGTAATTACAGAGTCAGATTAGTGGAGGGACCAGACAGTCTATGGAAGGTGAGTTAATACAGAGTCAGATTAGTGGAGAGACCAGACAGTCTATGGAAGGTGAGTTAATACAGAGTCAGATAGGTGGAGAGACCAGACAGTCTATGGAGGGTGAGTTAATACAGAGTAAGATTAGTTGAGAGACCAGACAGTCTATGGAGGGTGAGTTAATACAGAGTAAGATTAGTTGGGAGACCAGACAGTCTATGGAGGGTGAGTTAATACAGAGTGTAGATTAGTGGAGGGGCCAGACAGTCTATGAAAGGTGAGTTAAGACAGAGTCAGATAAGTGAAGGGACCAGACAGTCTATGGAAGGTGAGTTAATACAGAGTCAGATTAGTGGAGAAACCAGCCAGTCTATGGAGGGTGAGTTAATACAGAGTCAGATTAGTTGGGAGACCAGACAGTCTATGGAAGGTGAATTAATACAGAGTCAGATTAGTGGAGGGGCCAGACAGGCTATGAAAGGTGAGTTAAGACAGAGTCAGATAAGTGGAGGGACTAGACAGTCTATGGAGGGTGAGTTAATACAGAGTCAGATTAGTGGAGAGATCAGACAGTCTATGGAGGGTGAGTTAATACAGAGTCAGATTAGTTGGGAGACCAGACAGTCTATGGAAGGTGAGTTATTACAGAGTCAGATTAGTGGAGGGACCAGACAGTCTGTGGAAGGTTAGTTAATACAGAGTCAGATTAGTGGAGAGACCTGACAGTCTATGGAAGGTGAGTAAATATAGAGTCAGATTAGTGGAGAGACCAGACAGTCTGTGGAATGTGAGTTAATACAGAGTCAGATTAGTGGAGAATCCAGACATTTTATGGAGGGTGAGTTAATACAGAGTCAGATTAGTTGGGAGACCAGACAGTCTATGGATGGTGATTAATAAAGAGTCAGATTAGTGGAGGGACCAGACAGTCTATGGAAGGTGAGTTATTACAGAGTCAGATTAGTGGAGAGACCAGACAGTCAATGGAAGGTGAGTTAATAGAGAGTCAGATTAGTGGAGGGACCAGACAGTCTATGGAAGGTGAGTTAGTAGAGAGTCAGATTAGTGGAGGGACCAGACAGTCTATGGAAGGTGAGTTAATACAGAGTCAGATTAGTGGAGAGACCTGACAGTCTATGGAAGGTGAGTAAATATAGAGTCAGATTAGTGGAGAGACCAGACAGTCTGTGGAATGTGAGTTAATACAGAGTCAGATTAGTGGAGAATCCAGACAATTTATGGAGGGTGAGTTAATACAGAGTCAGATTAGTTGGGAGACCAGACAGTCTATGGATGGTGATTAATAAAGAGTCAGATTAGTGGAGGGACCAGACAGTCTATGGGAGCTAGTGAGTAATTACGGAGTCAGATTAGTGGAGAGACCAGACAGTCTATGGGAGCTAGTGAGTAATTACAGAGTCAGATTAGTGGAGGGACCAGACAGTCTATGGAAGGTGAGTTAATACAGAGTCAGATTACTGGTTGGACCAGACAGTCTATGGAAGGTGAGTTAATCCAGAGTCAGATTAGTGGAGGGACCAGGCAGTCTATGGAAAGTGATTTAATACAGAGTCAGATTACCGGTTGGACCAGACAGTCTATGGAAGGTGAGTTAATACAGAGTCAGATTAGTGGAGGCACCAGACAGACTATGGAAGGTGAGTTAGTACCGACTCAGGTTAGTGGAGAGACCAGACAATCCATAGAAAGTGAGTTAATACAGAGTCAGATTAGTGGAAGGACTACCCAGAATAAACAGTATGTTTTATTTTATAGCCATGTTACATTTTTATAATTTTTTTAATATCAGCAAAAATGACTATTTTCACAGCAAAAAAAATAATAGAAATGCCTAGACAAAGATAACAAGTAAAAGCTCAAGGCATAATATTCTTGAAAACTGACCTAATCCTGCATTGAGGAATTTGTATAATTAAATTATTTAGAGTTAATTAAAGAAGAAATTCAAAAAGATCAGCATCAAGATACTACACTGGTGATGCAAAATTAGTATCATGATTACTCATGATCTAGTGGATTGATATATCGCTGTATTGTTTCACCTCTGCCTATTCATACTTGTTGTTTATTGCTAGAAATTAAGTAAATGAAATAATAAGATGAAATATGTTGATACAGAGTTATTCCCCTTGTGTTATTACTTACAGGTTACATACAGAAAAGACTTATTTGCAGCACAGGGTATACTAAGAGGTACACAAATTGCAGAACTTTGTAAATAAATTAACTCGGTGAAATATCAAGTCATGATCAGTAACAAGCTTTTCCTGTTGAGGTAGAGTGTTTTATTTAATTTATCCTTGCAGAAAATCTGTCATTCATTTTCATTGAGGAAGAAATAACAAACCAAAGAGATAATATCATAAGTTCCATCACAGAAGAAAATCTAAAGGTGAGTCAGCAGTTATCTCTCTTGTTATAAATACATGTAGTAGTATAAATGAGTTGAGTTTACTAGTATTCATTTTCACTGCTCAATAAGTTGCCAGGCTTTGTAATGCCCGATAAGATTATTTTAGCACTTTTTCAGCACATTAAAGTCCTTTTTTTTAAGCTCTGTTAGACAATACAAACATGCAAGTTAAAAAAAATGACACAATTACACATCTACTGATTGATATTATTTTAATTTCTTCAGCTCATTTAACCTCTCATTTATGTTTTTTCAACATTTTCTAATTGGTAAGGCTATAAAAAGGTAAATCAACACAATTTTTTCTTTCCTTTTGTCAATCACTTTTCATGGTCTGTACAAACCCTGGTTTTATAATGTAAAGCTCTAGACAAAAGAATTTAGAATGAAAAATACAATATTAGGGTGGATCCTTTTGTTATTTTTATGAGCCCTTGAAAACTGAATAATGTTTGATTTTATTTGTATTGTAAATATAAAATGCATTATCTGGATTAAAAGTTTCTTTATGAATTTATAAAAAACAATGTTCCAATGCATTTGTAATTATACTCAGCCATAGCAGCTATTTATCACTATTATTTATTCTGTGCCATGGACCAATTTTGGTTCCTCATTTGAATGAAAAATAAGACATTGTTTTAATGTTTTTATTTAGTTTCTTTCTATGTTCACCCAGTGTCTGTTTTACAGGTGTCCTCAGAAAAGTCTCCAAGCTGCTCTGAATTTGGTTTTGTCTTTTTTTTGTCACCCCAGAGATTGGAATCAGACATAGCAACAAAGATTGATAACATCTCTGTAATGATGAACAAAATTACATCACATCAATATGAAAAGTGTTCTGACTGTCCATGTAATGAATCAATATCTGAGTCTACAAAGAAAGAAGATTGTGGTTGTTATACCAATACAGATGAAACAGAAGTCATGGTTTGCTCTAAGTGTTCATTTCTGACCAAGAAAACAATTGTACTGTTGCATGAAATTAACAAGTTATGCAGAAGTACTGTAGTTGAAAACACAAGAGAGAGACTTCTAGGGGCCAGGCTTCCTGACAATGTGTTCATGTCTGTAATTGTTTTTCATGAAGATTCTGAGAGTAGGTAGACTGAGTGTGTCACTTCTTAAAAACCAAGATCCAGGAATGAACGGCCAGGTTCTGTATGTGCAATGAAAATTCTCTTTGGTGCAGTTTAAAGAACAATAAATTGATCATTTTAAAAACTTGCTTTATAAATTTCATCTTTCCTGGCCCAGTGGTATTTGTGATGAGGATATTTAAATGACCCCACCCAATTTTTACCTTTTCTTAATTATCTCCCTTCAGCTGAGGTGAGCTAAAAAGTGTGGAAGACTAAGTGTGATAGACAAGGAAAAAACCTGTAGTCCCCTTCTGTTTCACTGGTAGCAACTATTACTGATTTTCTCACAAAAATCTGTATATTTTACATCCACTGAAAATTATATCCTATTTATGCCCCTCCATGAATATGACCGGGGCATATAGTGTTTGTCATGTCCGTCTTCCATCCCTCCGTCCTTTTGTCTGTCCCTCCATCACACTTTGCATTTAGCTCTGTTCAAAGCTCAGTTTTAAAGAAACTATCAAAGATATTTTTATCAAACTTCATATACTGATAAATATTGATGAGAGCTATGCAACTGCATCAACATTTTTTGACCTTGACCTTTCCTTTGACCTTGACCTCACTTTTCTTGAATTAGTGTTTAGCTCAGCTTTAAAGAAACCATTCATAATATTTTTATCAAACTTCATATGCTAATACACACTGATGTAACCTTTTCAACTGCATCAACAATTTTTGACCTTGACCTTTCCTTTGACCTTGACCTCACTTTTCTTAAATTAGTATTTAGATAAGTTTTAATGATATCATTTAAGATATTTTAACAAACTTCATATGCTGATACATACTGATGAGAGCTATTCAACTGCATCAATATTTTTACCTTGACCTTTCCTTTGACCTTGACTTCATTTTTCTTAAATAAGTTTTTAGCTCAGTTATAAAGATGCCATTCAAGATAGTGTTATCAAAATTCATATGCTGATACATACTAATGAGAGCTTTTCAACTGCATCAACATTTTTTTTTACCTTGACCTTTCCTTTGACCTTGACCTCACTTTTCTAAAATTAGTGTCAAACTTTATTTGCTGATACATACTGATGAGAGCTATTCAAATGCATCAATGTTTTTTGACCTTGACCTTTCATTTGACCTTGACCTCACCTTTCCTAAATTAATGTTTAGCTCAGTTTTAAAGAAACCATTCATAATATTTTTATCAAACTTCATATGCTAATACATACTGATGTAACTTTTCAGCTGCATCAACAATTTTTGACCTAGACCTTTCTTTTGACTTGACCTCACTTTTCTTAAATTAGTGTTTAGATAAGTTTTAATGATATCATTTAAGATATTTTTAACAAACTTCATATGCTGATACATACTGATGAGAGCTATTCAACTGCATCAATATTTTTACCTTGACCTTTCCTTTGACATTGACCTCACTTTTCTTAAATAAGTTTTTAGCTCAGTTATAAAGATGCCATTCAAGATAGTGTTATCAAAATTCATATGCTGATACATACTAATGAGAGCTTTTCAACTGCATCAACATTTTTTTTACCTTGACCTTTCCTTTGACCTTGACCTCACTTTTCATTAGTGTCAAACTTTAAATGTTGATACATACTGATGAGAGCTATTCAACTGCATCAATATTTTTTGACCTTGATCACACTTTTCTTAAATTAGTGTTTAGCTCAGTTTTAAAGAAACCATTCATAATATTTTTATCAAACTTCATATGCTAATACATACTGATGTAACTTTTCAGCTGCATCAACAATTTTTGACCTAGACCTTTCTTTTGACTTTGACCTCACTTTTCTTAAATAAGTGTTTAGCTCAGTTTTAAAGAAACCATTCATAATATTTTTATCAAATTTCATATGCTAATACATACTGATGTAACCTTTTCAACTGCATCAACATTTTTTGACCTTGACCTCTCCTTTGATCTTAACTTCATTTATTTTAAATTAGTGTTTAGCTCTTTATCAAACTTAATATGCTTATATGTATTTATGAGAACTATTCAACTGCATCAAAAACGTTTGACCTTGAACTTTTCTGGGACCTTGACCTCACTTTTCTTAAATTTGCATTTCGCTTAATTTTAAAGAAACCATTTAAGATATTTTTATGTAAGCTTATGCAATTATACATAAATTCGTGAGAATTTGTCATCTATATCAAACTGTTTAGATTTCAATTTAAATTTTAAAGAAACTATTCAAGATATTCTCATCAAATTTTATACACCAATACAAATTTTCATGTTGCATTACTAATATACCCTCGGCGGGGCATTCATGTCCTATGGACATATTTCTAGTTATTTCTTATGAAATCCATGTTCATTTAATATAACATCTTGAATGCCTCTAAACAAGCCACCTGTTAAAATTTCTTTCTTTCTTTTTTTGCAACAGGTGCAACATTAATTGTACATGACTGTCGGAACCGGGGGTGGGGTGGGGACATGAGGGGCTGTTCCCCTCAATAATTTTGCCGATATATAGAATACTATAGAAAACATAGCTACTATATGCTTGTACCCCCTCATAAAAATGTCTGACCTTTTTTTTTGGCTTGTCAAAAAATTTTTGGTAGTTGATAGTGCCCCCTCCAACTAGAAATATATATTATACAATTATTGCTAGGTTTTGAGAATATACGATGATTTAGACACCCGAGGAGTACAATATTTGCCGAGCCCGAAGGGTGAGGTGAATATTGTACTTCGAAGGTGGCTAAATCATTGTATTGACGGAAAAAAACAGCAATAATTGTTTTATTATATGATTCAATAATTAAATGAAACACACCACACTCATTTAGCAATCCATGCCATCTACTTGTTCACTTCTGCTGAAGTACTAGCCGAACATATTGAGAAAAAAGGGGTTTAAAGAAACAGTCGTATTAATTCTAGTTTAGGTGTAATGTAAAAAAAATAAATGTGAGACACATATATAGGATTGATTTTGAAAAAAGGGGCATTAAAAGAAAAAAAATAACAAATATTTGAGTACACCCCCCCCCCCCCAAAAAAAAGAAAGAAAAGAATTCTCACAACTCAAAATTTTATTTAGTGGGATGTAAAGGTCAATAAACGAGGGGAGGGGGCTTTCATTGAAATTTTTTATCCTTAAAATTCAAATTAAAACTTTACATTCTCAAAGGTGGGGAGAAGGGCAGGCTTCCCCCCCCCCCACCCACCCACCCACCCACCCAAGAATCTATGTGCCTTAATGTAATGTTCATATGAGTGGAGGTCAGATGCAAGTGAAATAACTTTCCAAAACTATTTGCATCAATTTGGAATTTCCTTATCTATTTTTGGTCCAATGGAGAATAAATAATTCCTTATACTGACCTGGAAGGTCACATGCAGTTCAATATAACGTAGTATTTTTCTAACATTGTTAGATCTCATCCAATCAAAAAATATTATATAATAATTTGTGATATCTATGTCTGTATACATATATTATGTAGAAACACAAAGAATGGATTTTCCACACAATTCTATTCTGTATTCAGATTTAAGATGTTGTAATACAATTTTAAATATTGAAATGAATTCAGTCTATTTAATTCCTTGTTTAATAAAGTTAACATATTTTTAATAAGAAGAATAAAAATCAGTTTGCAAATGATCAACTTCTTCAGATAAAGTCATATCATGAAATGAAAATCATATGAGTTGTTATGTTTAATTCAGTAATGAATTCATGATGCACATATATTTTAAAAGGAATAAACATTTGATGTTTATTTCATGTACTGTATAACTTTCACTTCCCCTGAATTGTACAATCCTACCCACAACCTCCCCTCACTGTCCACACTCAGTCCAATAATATGCTTTAGTCCACAATTATCCACACATCTCAGGAACTGTCCATTCTGATCTAGGATGTGTAGACAGTCATTGAATTCATCAACCACAATGATGTGACCCATGGAGTCTGTCACAATTTGTGTAGGATAGAATGATTCCTTTCCCCCTGGAGGTTTGTTGTTGTATCTGAATCTGACTTTTCCTGTCCTGTCTACCACTACCACTGTTCTAGCATTACGATCAGAAGCCACTATGTCTCCATTGTTGTTCTCCACCACAAACACTATATGTATTCCTCCTTGATAAATTGGATCACCATGTTCATCTTTATCTATTTCCTGTGTCACTCTCTGTCCCTGATAATGGACTATTTTACGATGACTCTTATCAGTAGTACCCATACTAACTAGGATGTCCCCTGACCTGGTACAACACAGTCCTGATGGATACCAGCCCCTTGGTGTGGTGATCAGTGTCTCTGTCTTCCCATCTCTGACAATGTTCACAGTTCTATTGTTACCATCACTGTATATCAGTTCTCCCTGTCTGGTCACTGTAATGTCAATAGGGAATGTCTTAAATGTACTGGTGACAGTGTCTTGTACAGCTCCATGTATGTCCACACAGGTTATCATTTTGTCTGTTCCACTAACCCAAGCTTTATCTGATCCTACACAGGCTACTTTAAATAAGTTTGTTACATTTGTTGGAATGTTTGCAATCACTTCGGCTTCTTCTAATAATTCCTTAAAAGATAGAAAGGAGACATCATCTGTCAGACTGGATAGTGATGTCTGTGTCAGTGTAGCCTTGCATTCTCCTAATTCTATGCTGAGTTCTCTCCCTTGGACTGTGTTTGTTTGAAGAGAAGGCAATGGTAAATCAGGTATTTGTGGAATGTTTCTGAATTCCTTCAGTTTAGATTGGTAGTTGTTGACATCAGACACTTTGTAAGACTTTAGAATTTCTTTGTTTTCTTGAATAGATCGGTTCATACTGGAATTCTGACTTCTGAGTTTGGACTGGCATGATTTCAGAGTTGTAATATGATGATCTCTGAGTGACTGGATCAGGGATTCCATTTTGTTAAAGATGTTGTCCACCTCTAGGTGCCATTGAATTCTATTATCATTGGTCTGTTTCTGTAAATCTGCATAATGGGC